TCTCTACTGTCTGTCTCTGTCTTTACTGTATGTCTCTATCTCTACTGTCTGTCTCTGTCTTTACTGTATGTCTCTATCTTTACTGTGATGAGTGTCCCCTCAGCTGCAGTAAGACAAACACGTATGTTTGTGTTTCAGTCCTGTCTGACTATCGATCAGTCGGATTAGTAACTGATCAATATGACAGCAGTTAGCCTCAGATAGCTTCAGTTAGCTTCAGTTAGCCTCAGATAGCTTCAGTTAGCCTCAGTTGGCTTCAGATAGCTTCAGATAGCCTCAGATAGCATCAGTTAGCTTCGATAGCCTCAGATAGCATCAGTTAGCTTCAGATAGCCTCAGTTAGCTTCAGATAGCATCAGTTAGCTTCAGTTAGCCTCCTCAGTGAAACCGCCTGTCTCTGCTCCGTGCTAATGCTAACGGTGTTAGCTCTGTGAATAAAACACAAACTCACCGGGTCCAACCGGGACCAGACCGGAAGTAGAAACAAAATCTTGTCCGTAGAGTCTGTAGAGCGGCCGATCAACTGATCAATAACCAATAATAACCAGTGATAACCAACAATAACCAACAATAACCAATAATAACCAGCTCCGTCCGATGTCCAGAGGATCACAGCTTTGTTGTCAAACTACTTGCCACATTTGGCTGATGATAACTTCCGGTTCATTTCCGTAGGTCGCATTTGGCGGTAATCTAAAACTAAAATTGGCGGTAATCTGAGTCACAGGTCATCGAATTAAAAAAGTGATTCAGTCAAGATAAAGAATAAAAAGATTAAAACCACAGAGTGAACAGATTCAACTCGAGAAGACAAATAATAAACAACTCACAAGACAAATACAAATCTAAAAACTCATCAGGGTCACACACGACAGATCAGAGTGCTGCCTCTAGTGGGGTGATATGGTACTGTGGGCTCTTGAAGGTTTGATAGTGCCATGTATTAATGTATTAATGTATTAATGTAGGTGAGGAGAAGTTTACATTCTAAATGTGACAGGAAGTCAGTGTAGAGAAGCTAAAACAGGAGACACGTGGTCTCTGTTCCTGGTTCATATCAGGACATGTGCTCTACTCAGTGTTTCTATGACTGGATTTTACGTAAGGTACTTGAAGGCAACAGAGAGTGCGTGATGACGTCATAACGATGGCCGTGTCGCTGTTAGCGGAGCTGAAGCGTGATGACGTCAGTAAAGATGGCCGTGTCGCTGTTAGCGGAGCTGAAGCGTGATGACGTCAGTAAAGATGGCCGTGTCGCTGTTAGCGGAGCTGAAGC